TCACCTGTAAGAGGACGAGTAGTTCCGAAATAAGATTTGAAGCTCCGGCTCACATTCGGTCGAATACTTAAGTATTGTAAATAATAAGAAGATCATATAGAGTTTAATATGTCAGTCATATAACACTTTTATCATAAAATCGTCTCTAACCTAAGACAATTTTCTTAATGAAATTAGTCTTTAATCAAATACATTTTTAATACTAAATAAATATCTAATTAAACAGTTTTTATCGTTCTTTCTAAAGCTCTAAAACCAACGAGAATTCTAATAATTTACTTTCAGCACATGCTTATGCATTAGACCATTACTGAGGCTCTCTCAGATTACTCTTTGCAAAAATTAGCAGATGCTTTTACTGTCTCGCTAATTAATAAAAAACGTTAAAACGAAAGAACAGCTCCCATAAAGCTTTCAAATGCCTATATATTTCAGCGAAGATCGTTCTTTTTTTGTTGTTAATCAGTTTTAAATTTGCTTTTGTAAAGAAACAAATAGTATTATACCCTTCACCACTTTAGTGGGGTGGGTATGTTGGGTTTGTGCTGATATTAGTAACGTACGCCATTAACTCTAATATGGGTATTAGGAAGACAAGAAAGTTGTGACAAGGGACACACCACAAGGTGGTGTCATCTTTCCACTCCTGTGGAATCTTGTCGTAAATAAAATCCTTTTTATACTCAGTAGGATGGGCTTCAAAGGAATCAGCCCTCATGGGCCAAGGAAAATGGATGTCAACCCGGCCAAAACTGAACTGATTCATTTCACCAGGAGGTACAAAATGATTCCATGATTCAGACCTTCGCATATGGATGGTACCATTCTGAATACCTCAAGCAAATCTTAGACTCTAAGCTCACGTGGAAACGTAATGCTAAGATTCGAATGAAGAAGGCATTATGTGCCTTCTATATATATAAGAAAACCTTTGGGGGATCTTAAACCATACATTGTGCACTGGGTTTACACCGCGGTCATAAGACCTATTTTGACCTACGGAGCTCTTGTTTGGTGGAGAGCGGTTAATAGGTCATTCAAGACCAGAATACCGGCAAATGATGATTGGGCCGCGAACACTGTCCTAAGGGACGACGTGATCTCAATCTATACTGATGGCTCAAATACAGAAAGGGGCACGGTATCGGTAATCTTCTACGAAAAACTAAATCTTCTACTATCTCTTCGACTACCTGACATCTGCACGGTCCTGCAGGCAGAGATATATGCCATCTATACAGCCGCTAGAAGAATCCGGAAACTAAATCTCGAAAATTCGACTATACATATATACTTGGACAGACTTGTATCAATCAAGGCTTTTAACACCAATGTTATTAAGTCGAAATGTCTTCTCAATTGTATTCGATCATTGGCACAACTGACACCTCATCACGTTGAGTTGATATGCGTTCCAGGACATGAAGGCATCCGGGAAAATTCAATATCTGATAAATGCGCAACCAAAGGGTCGTCCACTCTCCTGATGACTCTATCAAAATTGATAGATGAATGGACTTTGAGTGAAACGGAACTCAGGTGGTCAAATATCACCACTTGTAGAATATCGAGACTGCTTTGGCCCACTCTGACAACAGAGAGGACTAGGACTCTCATGTCTCTTAGTAAGAACTCGATTAGGTTTCTAACTGGTATAATTAGTGGACACTGTATGATTGGACATATGTCGGAACGTATGTTCTACCCATGCTATTGTACATATATCTATAAAATAGCACAGACTTCTCTATCTTGGTAGAGCTCTTTTCCATGCTCCGGACTGTCTCAGAGATGCATCGCTAATAAACATGATCGGTTTTATAAGAAGCACATGTCGGTTTTCACAGAGACCGAACGAACCAATTAGTTAACGAAATTAGGGAGAGAAACCTTTCTCTCAATATTAGGGAATGGTAATTCTAAGGGTATCACAATGGGCCACAAGGTGTCCTAGTGAACTCGCTTGCTAGCGAGCAACCCACGAACCCGAACCAAGTAACGTACTGGTCCTATACCCACCTTTAAATATAACAATCGGCCTAGAGTTATTTTCAGAGTCAATTTAGCTATATCTGTCCATCCATGTATACCTGTAATAAAACTACAGATCGCCATTTTGGAGATAGTTAAATAAAATAGTAGCAGAGGAAATGGTTAACATCGGTCTATTATTTCACCTAGGCACAACTAAGATTTATACTAGCTTTGAAGATTTTGATGATCGGGCTTCTTCTGACCCTAGCCCCCATAAAAAGCCTCCCTTCAAAAAATTATTTTAATGTCCAAAATTTGCTTAAAAAACTAGACTAAAGAAGTAATTGTGATCATTTTGAGAGAATGATATTTTTCGAATTTTAAAATTCTTCTCAGACTCACTAATATAAACGCTTTTAATTGAATTTATTATGACTTTTTCATATTTTAACTTTTTTTATTACATTTAAATAAAATTTATTACATTAAAATATAATAACATTTAAAAAATTTATTATATTTAATCTTTACGAATTTGCCTGAATTATATTTATACAAATGAAGCTTAATTAATACGATTGTTATTATTTTAAATATTATTATATTAATTTTTTATTTGTTTAGGTTCGTTGGGCAATATTAAAATAAATATTAAAAAAAAAACGAAAAACAAATGAATTTTACACATTTTTTTTTTCATTAATTAAAATGTAAGCATAATTCTACATTTGCTAGAGTTTTAATTAATAAGCATAATTTGTATATTGTTTATTTATTTAGGATAATTTTATTGCACGAACTATTTATTTGTTTATTGTTTTAACATAATAATATTAACAATAAATAATATTTAATTTAATTAAAAAAATAAAATTGTGAATAGTTAAATAAAATTTTTAAAAATTATTAAAACAAAGCTTTTGCAATAAAATTAGGAAATAAATACAAAACAACTAAAATGTTTAGTTTATTATTAAAAAAATAAATTAAATTAATTTTCATGAAATTCATTTACACATTTTTTTATATTTTATCTATATACATAAAAGAGTATCGTTACTGACTGACTGATTCATCATCGCACAGCCCAAACGGCTGAACCTAGAATCATGAAATTTTGACAGCAGATGTGTTTTTGGTTTTTGAAATTTGTACATATACAGTAAAAAAGGGAAAAACGGCTAAGACAGGTTTTCTTAATTATCTTACACAATATTAGTGATACAATAAAAATTTTAAATGCACCTGCATCTACTCCTAAAATGAGCATATGGGTGTCTGGTACTTTTTTGAAATTCGTACTTTAAGGGGTAATAATGTGTAACAAAAGTGATTTTGGTAACTTTTTTGGTCCTTTATAACTTTTGAACTAATTAACATAATACAATTTTTATAAATATTTTGGATACATCTCCCAAAATTAGTAGACAACTGTTTCGTACTTTTTTAAAATTCAGTCCTTTTTGGGTGTAAAAGGGACAAAACTGTATTTATGGTACTTTTATTAGCACATTAACAAAACTTTTTTTTAGCACATTAACAAAACGGTTTATTGACTAACTCTGTAATATTTATTGTAATAAAGTTTTTACTATTTCACTGGGGAAAAAATTACCAAAAAAGAAAAAAAAACGGGAAACTCATTGAGCCAAATTTTATAAAATTTTAAAAAGTAGTTTATTTACTCACACAAAATAAGCTGTTGGTATATTATTTTGGAATTCGAGTACTAAGACCTATATAGGACCAAATTCGAGTAAATTGTTTGGTACTTTTTGAAAGCACTATTTTTCTGGAATAAATGAATGCAGATTTAAATCGTTTGCGTTTTATCTGTGATACATAGATTTAAATACGGAACATTTTGTAAAGTTCATTCTCGAAAAAGTATATTTCTAAGCGTAAAGGGAAAAAATTGTACTCTTTATTAGTACTTTCCACTTAGGTAAAATTTATTCCACTTTTGGTACTTTTTCTTTATTAAAATGATACTCTTTGTATGTTCTTTAATATGAATTCAAAACACATGATTATAAAAAATACACGGTCCTCATACTTTTCTGTAAGTGGGAACTATTTGGTACTTTTCTATTCTTCAAATGGTACCTTTTAGATTCTTTGTAATGGTTAACCGGAACACACGGACCTTATTAAATGAGAATTTATTGAGAGAGATTTTTGTACTTTTTCGTTTTTCCGATGGTACTTTTTGATATTTTTACGATATTGAACTTAGATATTGAAAATTAAATTTTAAATGTAGGGACCTTAGTGAATGTGAATCTACTGAAAGGGATTTTTGGTACTTTTTCATTCGTTCAAATTATATTTTTTGAATTGTATATAATATTGAACACAGAAACATAAAATTTTTTATTAAATGATAATCTATTAGAGGTATTTTATAGTACCTTTTTTCAAATAGTACTTTCGAAATTTTCTATAATGTGGAAGCTAAATGAATGAAACTAAAAAGTTTCTTACTGAATGCGAATTTAATCACGTGATATTGAGCTTATAAAACTGACACATTAAAAAAATGTTTAATCAATATTAATTTTCTATAAAAGTAAACAACATTTGTATGTATTTAATTTAAGTTAGGGTAGCGAAGCACCCAGGGTATGTTAGTCTTTTATATACCTATTGTGTAACTCGACGTCACAGTTGCTCTTTTCCTTTTTGCCATCACTTGTCTTTATCCAGCTAAAAATTGATTTATGATTAAATTTAAAAAAATAATAATAAAAAATTAGGTCAATTATTGTAAATCAAGTAAAAATTAATAAAGGTTTCATTGTTGTAAAAAAGTGCATAAAAATGATTTAAAATATAAAATTCAATATTCTATTGTTTTAAACGACAAAAAAATATTTCAACAGATTAAAAAATATCTATTATCATTGTTGTTTTATTTAAAGGGTCAAATAATGTTATAACTTTAAAATAAGTTTTTTTTTTTATTTAACTCTCATTGTTTTTGTTTCAAAATACAATATTTTTCACATTTCTTTTTTTCATTGCAGGATGACATTTCCAGCAATACAACACGTTCTGAATTGAGTTTTGTGCCAACAACAGATGATGATGGTAAATCGATAACATGTCGAGCAGAAAACCCAAATGTCAATGGTTTATATTTAGAAACCATGTGGAAATTGAATGTAGTATGTAAGTAACAAAAACAACAACAAAATGCCCACAAAAAATTTTAAACATTGAAAAATATACATTTATACAAATACCAAAAAAAAAGTACCAAAATTTTTACTATAAATTGTGCCAGCATAAAAATATGTTTCATACAAAGAAAAACAACCGAACAAAAAAATATATATATTTTTTTAAAAAAATCTCTGTGTTAAACAAACAATAGAACAATAGAGCTGCTCTCAACAAATAAATTTTTCATAAGCACAATTTAATGGCCTATAAACCTTCATACAATATATTCATCTGTGTATGTGCTTTATATATTCTATATATTTTTTTCTTCTGAAAGAATTATTAAAAAAAAGTGAAATTCTTATATGTATATTTTCCCACTGTACATGTGTGTGTGTATATAATTTTAATGAATGCGTATATGGTAAACTGAAATTTCAATGGAATTTTTTTTTATTAAAAAAATATACATTTATTATTTTTTTTAACGATTTCTTTTTGTCGTACTTACGTTTGTCATATCCGTACATCTAGTCTATGGCAGAAGTATTGACATAAACTTTCAATATGCATACACCTGTATGTGAAGAAAATCAAAAAAGAGAAGGTAGCTTGAGAAGTAAGACATCAGGCTTGGGGGTAATGATTACATTTTCAATTAACATTACATTTGAAGTCATTGTAATTGAAGCTTTACCAGTTACATTTACTTGTAATTGTAAGTGAAGTTTTGCCAATTACAATTGTTTGTAATTATAATTGAAAAATTTCCAATTACAATTACCTAATTTGCAAATTACAAGTAATTTGCAATTACAAGTAGTTTTAATTGGTAAATTTCAATTACATTTAATTGTAATTGGCAAAACTTTAATTACAAGTAAGAGTCATTGGTTGTTGCTCAATTACACATTATAAATACTTGTAATTGACCATGTAATGAAGCACTTTGTGTCAACCCCATGACTGTAAGATATCAACTGGGATTTTAAAGAAAAAGTGAAGAAAAATTTTAAATTATTAAAAAAAACTACGTTAGACACAAATTGTTTCAGTATCTTTAGCCAATCTCAAAATGTTTGACAACTACAAATTTAAAATGAGTCAGAATTTCTATTTACACGGCCTTATTTCTAAGAAAAACTAGACAAAAGAACAGCATTAAGAACAACATTTAATATTCACAACACCTGTCCATCATACCTAATAATGAGTTACATAAATATGTATATATGTAATCATATACCAACAGTCCGACAAAGAGTCAATGCATCCGAAAAACACAGTGAGTGATAATCGCTTCGTCACTTTTATGTCCCCTTAGTAAGCGAAAGAGTGGACAGTTAAAAACAAACTCAAGCTTTCCGTCATTATCTTCGTAATCTCTGGGTTGATGATTGCCTTCCTCATAGGAGAGCACATGTTAAAATAGCCAGTAATGTTGGAAGTCGGTGGTTAGTTAGTTAGTCAGTTAGTTAGTTAGTTGGTTAGTTAGTTAGTTAGTTAGTTAGTTAGTTAGTTAGTTAGTTAGTTAGTTAGTTAGTTAGTTAGTTAGTTAGTTAGTTAGTTAGTTAGTTAGTTAGTTAGTTAGTTAGTTAGTTAGTTAGTTAGTTAGTTTAGTTAGTTAGTTAGTTAGTTAGTTAGTTAGTTAGTTAGTTAGTTAGTAGTTAGTTAGTTAGTTAGTTAGGTTAGTTAGTTAGTTAGTTAGTTAGTTAGTTAGTAGTTAGTTAGTTAGTTAGTTAGTAGTTAGTTAGTTAGTTAGTTAGTTAGTTAGTTAGTTAGTTAGTAGTAGTTAGTTAGTTAGTTAGTTAGTATTAGTTAGTTAGTTAGTAGTTAGTTAGTTAGTTAGTTAGTTAGTTAGTTAGTTAGTTAGTTAGTTAGTAGTTAGTTAGTTAGTCGTTAGTTAGTTAGTTAGTAGTTAGTAGTTAGTAGTTAGTTAGTTAGTTAGTTAGTAGTTAGTTAGTTAGTTAGTAGTTAGTTAGTTAGTTAGTAGTTAGTTAGTTAGTTAGTTAGTTAGTAGTTAGTTAGTTAGTTAGTTAGTTAGTTAGTTAGTATGTAGTTAGTAGTTAGTTAGTTAGTTAGTTAGTTAGTTAGTTAGTTAGTAGTTAGTTAGTTAGTTAGTTAGTTAGTTAGTTAGTTAGTTAGTTAGTTAGTTAGTTAGTTAGTTAGTTAGTTAGTTAGTTAGTTAGTTAGTTAGTTAGTTAGTTAGTTAGTAGTTAGTTAGTTAGTTAGTTAGTTAGTTAGTTAGTTAGTTAGTTAGTTAGTTAGTTAGTAGTTAGTTAGTTAGTTAGTTAGTTAGTTAGTTAGTTAGTTAGTTAGTTAGTTAGTTAGTTAGTTAGTTAGTTAGTTAGTTAGTTAGTTAGTTAGTTAGTTAGTTAGTTAGTTAGTTAGTTAGTTAGTTAGTTAGTTAGTTAGTTAGTTAGTAGTTAGTTAGTTAGTTAGTTAGTTAGTTAGTTAGTTAGTTAGTTAGTTAGTTAGTAGTTAGTAGTTAGTTAGTTAGTTAGTTAGTTAGTTAGTTAGTTAGTTAGTTAGTTAGTTAGTTAGTTAGTTAGTTAGTTAGTTAGTTAGTTAGTTAGTTAGTTAGTTAGTTAGTTAGTTAGTAGTTAGTTAGTTAGTTAGTAGTTAGTTAGTTAGTTAGTTAGTTAGTTAGTTAGTTAGTAGTTAGTTAGTTAGTTAGTTAGTTAGTTAGTTAGTTAGTTAGTTAGTTAGTTAGTTAGTAGTTAGTTAGTAGTTAGTTAGTAGTTAGTTAGTTAGTTAGTTAGTTAGTTAGTTAGTTAGTTAGTTAGTAGTTAGTTAGTTAGTTAGTAGTTAGTTAGTTAGTTAGTTAGTTAGTTAGTTAGTTAGTTAGTTAGTTAGTAGTTAGTTAGTTAGTTAGTTAGTTAGTTAGTTAGTTAGTTAGTTAGTTAGTTAGTTAGTTAGTTAGTTAGTTAGTTAGTTAGTTAGTTAGTTAGTTAGTTAGTTAGTTAGTTAGTTAGTTAGTTAGTTAGTTAGTTAGTTAGTTAGTTAGTTAGTTAGTTAGTTAGTTAGTTAGTTAGTTAGTTAGTTAGTAGTTAGTTAGTTAGTTAGTTAGTTAGTTAGTTAGTTAGTTAGTTAGTTAGTAGTTAGTAGTTAGTTAGTTAGTTAGTTAGTTAGTTAGTTAGTTAGTAGTTAGTTAGTTAGTTAGTTAGTTAGTTAGTTAGTTAGTTAGTTAGTAGTTAGTTAGTTAGTTAGTTAGTTAGTTAGTAGTTAGTTAGTTAGTTAGTTAGTTAGTTAGTTAGTTAGTTAGTTAGTTAGTTAGTTAGTTAGTTAGTTAGTTAGTTAGTAGTTAGTTAGTTAGTTAGTTAGTTAGTTAGTAGTTAGTTAGTTAGTTAGTTAGTTAGTTAGTTAGTTAGTTAGTTAGTAGTTAGTTAGTTAGTTAGTTAGTTAGTTAGTTAGTTAGTTAGTTAGTTAGTAGTTAGTTAGTTAGTTAGTTAGTTAGTTAGTTAGTTAGTTAGTAGTTAGTTAGTTAGTTAGTTAGTAGTTAGTTAGTTAGTTAGTTAGTTAGTTAGTTAGTTAGTTAGTTAGTTAGTTAGTTAGTTAGTTAGTTAGTTAGTTAGTAGTTAGTAGTAGTTAGTAGTAGTAGTTAGTTAGTTAGTAGTTAGTTAGTTAGTTAGTTAGTTAGTTAGTTAGTTAGTTAGTTAGTTAGTTAGTAGTTAGTTAGTTAGTTAGTTAGTTAGTTAGTTAGTTAGTTAGTTAGTTAGTAGTTAGTTAGTTAGTTAGTTAGTTAGTTAGTTAGTTAGTTAGTTAGTTAGTTAGTTGGGTAGTTAGTTGGGTAGGTAGGTCTTTTCACGAAAAAAGGGAGCATACAACAGGACCACTAACATCCTTTGTATATTTTATCCTCTATCCTCAAATTTCTGCAACTACCTACCTAAGACCGCATCATTCACATATTCCCTCATATAAGGAGGAAAGGCCTTGAAAAATTTATTTTATTGCCAACACGTAGTATGCTTACATATTATTTGCCGCAATCACGCTTATTTTCCTTTTAGAAATTCATTCACCAACACATGCACGTTCTCTCACAAAGTGAAAAAGGAGAGAAAAATAATATCAAACACACATACAAAACAGGCGTATGATGTAGCGGTAAATATTGCACATACGTTTGTGATTACGTTATAACGTACAGTTGCACACACACAAACGACATATAAAGATGTATGTATGTGTGTGTTTCAAACATGTAAAATAAATATGTGACATACAAATACCAATATTTTTAAGAAATCGTGTTTTTGTGCAGGGAACTGATAAAAGTGTGTTCAAATTTTTAGGTGAAGTTGGGTGGAGGTAATAGGGAGTGTATGGGCTCGCGATAGAATGTATATTTGTATTTAAATACATATTGATTTGAGGGGTTTCGTTAGAAGACAGAAATGTGAATTGAATTTGAAAATTAAAAAGAAAATATATGTATTTGAAAGGGAAAAATTAGTGCTTTAAATAATATGCGTATGAGCTTCCAGTAGGTTAGTAGTTAGTATTTTAGTTTATCAATCCGAAGATTGTAGGTTCGATTCCCACCAAAGGCACGGGTAGCGCATTAGAAAATATGTTCAGCTAATTGACAAAGAGCTAACACCAGTTCCCTTAGATTTTGATTCAACAAATAACTTACCACGCTCCTGCTGAGCTCTTACAAACCTCTTACGATAACAAATATTGAAAAATTAAAAAAATTCACACACTCTATCCAAATAAAAACACTTTACACTACCATTTCATAAATATACAGACACAAATGCTCACACTCAGGAGCACCATCAAGCAGCGCTGAACATTCTTTACAACTTTTGTAGTAGGTACTTCACTGCTACTTGTGCTTCAATTCAACTGTTTTGTTAAAGTTTTTAGTTGCTTTTTTATATCAATATTTTTCATATGGTAACGTATCGAATCGAATTTGTAAATTCAGATACATTCATTCACATGTAGCATCTACTTAAGTGTGTGTGTGTATTTTTATAGGACTGCAAGTGTTT